TTTTTACTTGGAATCGCTGCATTACAATGTTTTACAGTGAACGTAGCTAACAGACTCAGAGAACCAAATCTGCAAAAGTCGAGCACATACTCGTTACCCGATGACGATGAAATATAGCTAAAGCGTTTGAGTTGGGTAAACTTCAGCATCATAATGATTTAAAACCGTTACTAATTACATTAGAATAGAGCCATGTAAATTAGGTTTTGTTGTATAAAGTATAAAGGGGTCATTTTAGTTGCTAAAATATCTCGGACCCTTTGTTAACAGACAAACATGTGAATAAAAAGTTGACCAGACTGAGGTCTATGACGGCCAACATTAGTCTGTAAATGTAACTGTGCTAAATGTAATTATCAGCAAACTACTTTGTTCTTTTAAAAAAAGGCACGCAGCATCAATCCAGTTCATTTTACCAGAGTGTGATCAAATTCATGGTAGAGACAATATTCTTCTTTTCTTTGACATGAAGGCAATCAGTCGTCATCAGTCAATCTGCCATGCCACTAAAATTCATTTATACGTATAGCTTGCAGAGTTTGGGCAGTCCGGGAGAAATATAACAACACCTTTCCCTCAATCTCCCTTCTTGACCTGAACAGTGATATAAAGAGTCCCACAGATGACTCTTGTTGGGGATCAGTATCATAATTTTGAGCTTAAGATTTCAGATTCTGTGCACATTTCACTTTTCTCTCTGTACGGCACTCTGATTACTCATTGCTTTATTACTTAATTATAGTAACTGTCCACCTGTGAGGGAGCTGATCATCTGCTTGTTCTTATTTGCACTCATAAAATGCAGCCGAGTCACATCTGCGCTCGACTCAACAACATCTGTAGATTTCTGTGTTTTCTCACTGTTGTCAGCTTCTCAGAAGTTGTACACACGAGCTGTATGGGTGAGTACAGTATTGCCTTACAGCTACGGCAGCTGTGCTGATGTGCTAGATAAAACGTTAAACTGCAAACTAATTACAAAAATCGGAGCATCTTTGATGTCCTCAGAAAACATGAGAGATCCTGTGGCTGGAAGATTACATTAAATTGAATCAAAACTGCTTAAAATTTGGGCACCATACCAGTGAAGTACTACGCTTTGAAGGGCAGACCTGAGAGGCTCAGCAGCATGTTTGACACAGATGCACTGACTCTGTAAAGGGTTAACGTTTGGCTGTTTATTCTGCTGAAATAGAAGCGAATCGCTTATTTTTCATTCAAGAAATCAGATGATCTCTTCCATCACGGCTAATGAAGGCTACAGGGATCAGACTGGTGCTGCAGAAACACGCTGCTGAGGTGGTTTAGATACAGGAACCACAACAAGGACAAAACAAACATCTCACACACGTCTCATGTGTCTCTCTGAGGTTTCTCTGCCTGCCTCTGTACTGCCTTCATGAATTGCTCACACCTGCTTCTGTTCCTTCTGAGCTCGAAATGAAACAAGCTTTTGTTCACTCGTAAAGCAAAACCTTCACGTCTGCGCTGCCTCACCCAAACGTTTGCTTACAGGCCTAAATGAAATGAGCTTTTAAATGGAGCTCCTTTCAGATTACTCGGATATAAAAGCGGCTGCAAAGCCTGCGATCAGCGCGATGCCCCTTTCTTTCCTCGGTGGATGCATATTTGTTTATGAGCTGTGATTTTGATGGAAAACACCTTGAAAGTGAGGACTCCCTCATTAGTCACACACACCTAACGAGGGGGTGTGCACCACACTGTGTCATTACTGAAAAAGAAAAAGACAAAGTGTGGGCCACAAGCAAGAAAGACGAGTGATTCACTTTTTTCATATGCCTCTCATGCTTCCTCAGCCTCCAATCTCTCCTACAGAGGGTTTCCCTCGGCAATCGATCTCTATTTCCTGTCTCTGACTTGCGCTGGTTTTATTGTATTTGATAAAATTACAGGTTAGACTTATGGCGTGCGATTTAGCCAAAGACGGGAGGATGTGCTGAAGGTGCTGGGTGTATGCTGGAAGTTTAAGAGTCTGTGGCTGTTTTTGTGTTTCATAAATAAACAAAATGTCAGTGGAAAAGAGGTTAAGAATCAGAAACAAGTGACATTCTCCCTCAGTGCCTGAAAACATTTAGCCTGTTTCATCACGAGGGGAACTTCATTCAAGCTTCTTTGAAACCTCAAACTTGTGAAACAGTCGCAAAGACAGAAAAGTTTACTGTCTCTCCCACTCATCGCTAAAACCTCCATCATCAGTATCTGTAAGTTATTTTTGGTTTGTGGGCCGCTGGATGATCGTTTTTATCAAAAGGAAAATGTAGATCTTGCCACAGTTCATGTAGATTTTCTAATTCATATGGACTGCACACGACTGCTACTATAAATCTGTGATTAAGATGATGAGGTTAATGATGACGTTTGTTTGCAGTGGAAACACTGCTGTATATTTCCACAGCGCCTACAGACGTGTATGCAGCATTTGCGCTGAGCGTAGCTGAAATACGTTACTGCATTCCTGTAAGTAATCGAGATAATGTGATTATTTGCTTATTGTAATAAATGAATAAACAAAATGGAAACAAAAACCATTTGATGTCAGTTTTAGAGCATTTCTCAAAACAATGACACAGACAAAATTCAGTTTTCAGTCAGTAATGTTTTTCTGTACATCCTACAGTTTATATCCGGAAATTATGGAAATGTTTTGCAATTTTTTTTCCATCAACATGCATTTAAATAAGAACTAAATGTCTACTCCTGCATTTTAATTGCATAAACGTTAGGCACAAAACTACTATTCCACTACTCACATGTTGCCACTCATTGTACAGACAGCCACATTCAAAGTGTCAGGAAGAGTTCAGTGATGTCCCTTTGCTACATCTGCCCAATAGCTAAAAAACACACTAAGCTGCCATTAGATTAACTAATCAAATCATTTTAAAAATATGCCTCACATGTGCATTTGTGCAGTTTTTTTGTTCGCTGCAGGCTCGGCCCCGCGACGTTGATTTTGAGGAGCCTGCTTCCTAATGCCGCTTCAGAGGCAACAGAAGAGGCAGATTTTTTAATGGGCAAAAATCATCTTCAAAGTTAAAGGTAAACTAAAATAAATAGAAATATAAAAAAAGTGTTTATATTGGCTTTGATAATGATGATCATGACCTGCGGTACGAGTCAAAAGTTTGTAGATTGATGTTTCAAAAGTATCTGTGACAAATTTAATAAAACATCTAATGCGCAAATACACAAAATATAACACAGCCAATAT